CGCGGGTCCCCGCTCCCTCCCGGCGGGGCCGGGCCGAGGCGCAGCCGGAGGCCCGGGGCCAATTAGCATTTTGATGGCGGGCCTGGGGGCCCATCTGGACCGGAGCCTAATTACGGGCGAACCTTCCAGCTGCCGGCGGGGCGTGCCAGGCGCAGTCCCTCCCTCACCCGCGCTCCCTGCCTTCTCCGGAACAATCTGTCCCCTTCTCTGCTCTCCGACTGCAGCCCTGTCCCTCTCTGTCAGCCCCAGTCACCCTACCGCCCCCTCCCCGTCCTTTGTCCCTGCACCTTCACCTCTTTCCTCGACCGCCCTTCACTCTCCCCGGGTTTCTGTATCTGCCCGCCGTCCATGTCCCCGCCTCTTTCTATCAATTTCCCCACCCCCTTGGCCCCCAAACCTCTTAAAAGAGGAGGCGTCAGAGCGCGGACACGCGCCCCACTGCCCGGTGCTGCCGAGGGGACCCTAGAGGCAGCGCTGGCGCCCTCTCCTCCCGCGGAGCTCGCGACCCCGGGGGCGCCGGGGCGGGGCCGCTGGGCCCAGGCCTGCGTGTGAAGCGCACACGCGCTGGGCTCAATTACTTGGGCCTCCTCGCCTTGACCCCCCTCCCCCATGCCCGGGTCCCTGTGCCCCAGTCCTGGGTCCAGCTAGGAGAGGCTGGGAAGGGACAGTTGGTGATTCGCACGCTGTTTGAAAGTTTCAGCCCTCTTCCACTGGAGGCCATCCTGAGTCTCTCCCTCTGAGAGCAGGAGACCAAGGGAAGGGGTGGGGAGGGGTGGGGTGCGGTGGGCTTTGTTGCAGGAGAGGAGACTGGGACCCCAGTCTACTCCATCCACTATGCCCCCCAGCAGGTCCAGCTGGTTGCAGGATACTCCAATGCCCTGGACACACCAGCTGTGCTTGGCCTCCTCATGGAGCCTCTGGGCTTCAGGGACTGTGTTCCCTAGTCCTGGTACATGTGCCGCTGGGCCCAGACCTTTCTCCATGTGGGATGGGAGGGATGCATATTTGTTATATGTCCCTCTGCCTCCCTCTGCTTCTGGGTGTGCTACCTCCAGTCCTGGGCAAGTCCCGCATTGCTGAAAGGCTAGGCTTGAAGGGAGATAGCCCAAGTGTTGTGTCCCCATCATCCTGCCCCAGCAGAGCCAGTAAGCCTGTATGTGCCCACCGTGGGCCCTGTGGTCACCTTCCAACTACCTTTCTGCCCTAGTGGGGCTCCAGCCCAGCCCAGCCAAGAGGATCCGCCCCTGGATATCTCCCTCCCTGGCTCCCAGGGTCCTACCTTGGCTGGAAGCTTCCTTTGGTCTGGCTCCTTGGCACTGCAACACCCTCCAGCCTTCTCTTCTACTACAGAATGGGTGACGGGGTGTCTTGCCTTCCTGGAAGCCAGTTGGTGTCCTGGGTGCATAATGGATGGGCAGCCCCTGATCTGCTGCTTCTGGCTCAACTCCCAGTTTCCCATCTGTGTTCTGTGCAGCCCCAACTCACCTGCAGCTCAGGATTCAAAATTCACTGCACCCTTTAAGCCTCTCAGTGCTGGGGGCCCTGCCCTCCAGGCCACAGCAGGGTCCACCTCTGGGCTTCGCCAGGGACAAGCTGGGGTTGGTGTGGGTCCAGTTAACAAGAACTTAGAGATGTGGATGTGTCTGGAGCTATTTCTGCCTTCACCTTACAAACTTGTATTGAACACCAATCTGTGCTCTGCAGTGCTTGTTCAAGGTAAGGGCAACAGATGCTGGCCTCTGTGCTCCCAGAGCTCACAGTAAAGCCCAGGACAAAATTCTAACCAGAAAGAAGAGTGAACCAGGTAGGTGATAACTTAGATATGAAAACAGGAGAAGCAGCACCTGGGGTGAAGATAGGCAGTGGAGGGCTGCTGAGTCTTCACAGTACCGGGGAAAACAACCTGTGCAAAGGTCCTGAGGCCATTGTCGAGTGTGTGGGTGGAAGCCCTAGGCCAGAGAGGGGTAGGTGTGCGAGGAAAGTTCTGGAGTCTGGGGAAAGAACCACCTGAAAAGATGAGAAGGAATGGCCTTGGAGCTCACACAGGATGGGAAACAGGTGTCAGGTTGAGCATTTAGAAGGGTTTTCTTCACTGAGAGGAAAACTAACACTAAACAAAAATCACACTCTGAGACCTCCTAACAAAGCTTAAAAGGAAGGCCTTAAGGGATCATACTGTTTCCAATCAAACTGCATCAAAGAGCCAGCCTCAGGGTCATTCATAGGAAGACACCACTATCTGGAGCCCCACAATGTAAAATTCACATCTGGCCACCAATGAAAAACTTACCAGGTGTCCATAGAGCCAGGAAAACACTGAAAATGAGGAGAAAAATCAACAATCAGAATTAAGCCAGGCCCTGGCTCAGCTGACTGGAGCATCATCCTGATTCACCAAGGTTTCAGGTTGTATCCCCAGTCAGGGCACATACAGGAAACAACCAATGAATGCATGGATGGGTAGAACAACAGGCCTATGCTTCTCTCTCTTTCTCAAATAAGTTAATAATAATAAAATAACAACAACAACAAAAAAAAACTGAGCCAGGATTGGCACAGATGATAGAATTTGTAGACAAGGACATTACCAGTTAGGACTATGCCAGCTGTTCTGGGAGCTAGAGGAAAGATAGAAAGATTGAACATGTTAAGTAGCGACATGGAAAGTATTTAAAAGACCCAAGTTGAATTTGTAAAAATGAAAACTTTTATGCTTGAGATTAAAAACAAACAACCAGGATGGAATTGATAGATTAGACTTTGCAGATTAGTCAATGTGAAGACCTGCAATAGAAATGACCCAAAGTGAGACCCAGAGGGGGAAATCCTGAAAGAAAGAACAGAGCCTTTATCCCTGGCTGGGTGGCTCAGTTGGTCCAGTACACCAGAAAGTTATGGATTCAATTCTTGGTCAGGGCACATACCCAGGTTTCAGATTCGATCCTGGGTCAGGGCACATGTAGGAGGCAACTGATTGATGTTTTTCCCTCACATCAATGTTTCTCTCTCCTCCCTTTTTCTCTTTCTCAAATAAATTTTTTTAAAAGGTTTTTTTTTTTTTTAAATGTCTTTATTGATTTCAGGGAGAGGAAAGGAAAAGGAGAGAGAGAAACATCAATGATGAGTCATTGATCAAGCCCACAGCCTGGGCATGTGCCCTGACCGGGAATCAAACCCCAATTGCCTGGATCCTAGGTTGACGCTCAACGGCTGAGCCACGCCTGGCCGGGCTCAAATAAATTTTTAAAAAGCATGTCCTCAGGTGAAGATTCAAAAAAAGAGAACAGAGCCTTAGTGAGCTGTGGCACAGTTTCAAGTGGCCTGATACACATGCGATAGAAAGGGAGGGGGGGACTGGAAAAAATATTGATAAAAACAAGGTCAACACCCCCCAAACACACATTATAGGAAGAAAACCACACCAGGGCACATCCTAATCCAATGATAACGGGAAATATTAAAAGCAGTCAGAAGGAGGCCCTGGCCGTGTACTCAGTTGGTTAGAGCGTCATCCTGATGCACCCAGGTTTCAGGTTTGATCCCCAGTCAGGCACATACAAGAATCAACCAATGATGCCTAGGTAAGTGGGGCAGAAAATCAATCTCTTTCTCCCCTCCTCTCTCTAAAGTCAATCAGGGTGTTAATATATGATGATGGGAGAAGATACGGCTTTGAGTGGTGTGCACACAGAACAATATACAGATCTTGTAACAGAAACCCACACCTGAAACCTTTATGTCACCCTACACTAACCATTGTCACCCCAATAAATTTAATAAAAATTAAAATCAATTAAAAAATGTTAAAAGATAGGGGCGCCCTGGCCTGTGTGGCTCAGTTGGTTGGGTGTCATCCTGACTGAGGGCACATGCTTGGGTTTCGGGATCAGTCCCTGGTGGGGGGCATGCAGGAGGCAATGTTGTGCTCACATCTATGTTTCTCTCTCTCCCTTCCCCTCTCTCTAAAAATTAAACTATTAAAAAAGGAGGGAGAGATGGGGTAACATCTTTAAAGTGCTGAAAGCAAAACACCGTTTGTCTAGAATCCTATACCCAGTGAAAGTATCTTTCAAAAATGCAAGTGATATGGACTTTTTAGACATACAGAAGCTGAAATAGCTCATCACCAGGTGACCTACACTACAAGAAATCCTGAAGGAAGTCCCATAGGCAGAAGAAATGACCCCAGATGAAGATCTACATCTCCACAAGTAAGAAAAGTACAGAAACTGTAACACAGCAGGTACACCTTGTAAAGACTTTGTTCTTGTTATTTAAAAGATACTCAACTGATTAAATAAAAAGTAACAGATGTAGGAGTAAAATGTAAAACTAGATAGCACAGAGGCCAGGAGGGGGCAATGGAAGGACATTAGTATTAAGATGCCACATGCACTTAGGGGGCATGTCTCCTTAGTCTCCTATGCTCTGTGACAGTTTCTCAGTCTTCCTTCTTTTTCATGAACTTAACTGTTTTGAGGCGTACTGGTCAGTTTTGTAGAATGCCCCTCAGTTGGGGTTCGTCTTATGTTCTGGTGATTAGTGAGGATCTGGGTTTGGAGAAGAGACCTCAGAGGTGAAGTGGTCATTGCCTTCCAGTAGAGGGTCCGTCCGCATGATGCTGACCTCAGTCACTTGGTTAAGGTGGTGTCTGCCTGGTGTTTCTACTATAAAAGTACTATTTTTTTTCTTTTCCATACTTGATTCTAGCGATTTTCAACCAGAGTGGCGCAAGAGTTTTTAAAACCACACCTATTTAGTCAAGGACACGGACCTCTTTCCCTTAGGTTGTCAAATAAAAAGCAGCCAACACAATAGCTGTCTGGTGTGAATGAATCAAAATTTTTTTTGTCAGCAAACAATATATTTTTGTGTGTGCTGCAGAATTTTAGTAATTACTTTATGTGCCATGAGATGAAAAAGGTTAAGATTGCTGCTCTATTCTTTGGTAGCATGTCACTAAATCCAGCCTACCCTCAAGGCTCCTGATTTTTTTTTTATTGATTTTTAGAGAGAGGGAGCAGGAGAGAGAGAAACATCAATAGGTTGCCTCCTGTACATCCCCTACCAGAATTGAACCAGCAACATTTCAATGCATTGGACACACCCAACCGAGCCACAGCAGCCAGGGCAGTCTCATGGAAATTCTTAACTGTTTAACGATGGGCTCAGCATTTTTGTTTTTCACTAGGCCCTGCAAATTATGCAGCTGGTGCTGGTTCCAGGGACACTCAGCTAACACAATGCACAAAGACCCAGGTCACCAACATGGCCATGAGGGAGAATGCTGACCATGAGAAGCAGGTGGACAGTGCCAGGCACCACTCCTCCAGGGTCCCCATGGCCCACTGCCTTCCCTGCTCCTACAGCAGCTCCCAGCACCCAGGAGGCAGGAACAGCCACTGGACAATGGATCATGGACTGGGGTTCCAGCAGACACAGGGTCTCCCCCCAGCTGGTGGTGAGCCCTGGCCTAGGGATTTGCAGCAGAAACTTTGGGACTGTCCAGTCCAGGACACACCTCCAGGCACAGGGCTTGGACCTGTAGCTGTGCCCCATCTCACTGCTGATGGAACCAGGAACAGGCGCCTGACCCAGATTGGACCAATCAGATTCTGACTCCTGGATTCTGCTCATGGGGCAGCACTTGGGGCCAGGTAGGACCAGTTCAGTGCTGCTGTCCAAGAGGGGCAGTGTGGCCCACACCTGTCTGAGGATGGGTCCTACCTCCTGGAGTCCTGGCTGCTCCTCAACCTCGCTGGCACCACTACCCCCACCTTTCAACCCAGACTCCGGGGGTGGCTCCCTCAGGGCAGCCTGGAGGCCCTGAGAAGTGTGCGCTAGGAGAAGACCCTGGAGGGGGAGCCTCCCCGACCCTGTAGAGAAAACGACCCCTGGAAGCAAGAGGCATCTTTATTGAGAGGAGGGCAAGTGGTGGGTGGGGTGCGAGATTAGAGAGGAAAGGAGAATGCTGCCCTGGGGATGAAGGAGGGGCAGAGCGCGCCGCAGGTCACACGTCCAGGTCCGACTGAGAGCTCTTGTCGCAGGCTCTGGTCTTACGCAGCGCCACACCCCGGCCGAAGGCGGCCCCCGGGCCGAAGGCGGCCCCCGGGCTGAAGGCGGCCCCCAGCGGCCAGTGGCGGACCACGTGCCGGTAGGACGTTGCCAGGCAGTCGAAGTAGTTAATGTTGAGCTTCCGGGCGATGTGCCGGCCCAGGAATTCCATTTGCTGGGGGAGCGGCGGTGGTCAGATCCCTGCAGGACAGGAGACGCCCACTGCCCCCCG